AGGGGGGAACGCTGAGCTGCAGATGCCTTCCGGACACCCGCATATCGGGTGTTTAGACCCTGTGCAGACTTGGATTGCCTCACGCCATGGCTGTTGCCGTAGCTCGGGAGCCTCGTCGAGGGTGACATGGTGGACGATCCCGTCAACATCGAGGACGACCTCGAGGTGCCAATGGCAGCAGGCCTCGGGCGCTTTCTCCGGGCTGCAAGGTCAAGTTCCTTGCTGGGTTCCTTCCAGGATGAACGGTCGCCTTCACTCACAAGCTGCGAGCTGGGGTGCGTGTTGATGCCAATACCTTCCAATGTGTCGGCCAGCTCGTCAGAAGAGCCTCGCCTGGGTACCGACAGATCATGTTGCATAGGGTATTGCACACCGTTGTAGGAAACTTCAGCATCGCTAGCCGAACGGTAGCCAGAAAGAGACTTTGACGTCTGAAGCTGGTGGGACCAGTCTTCATTCTGGGAGGGGTGGAACTGGACGTTTTGCATCGAGTCATGGCCGGCGTCATGTTGAGCGCCGTCCATGCCGGGCATCGTCAGCGACCCTCCCGACGTCACATACCCAAGAGCACCCTGAGAACTTTGCGACGTCCACGAGATGGCGTTCTGTGAGAAAGAAGAGCTGAGGTCACCCTGTCCATGTCTGCTGCTATCGTGGCTGCCGCAGCGGTTGTTGGAGAAGGTTGTGGTCGGCGACACTGACCCATCCATGCTGGGGGATTGGCTGTTTTCGCCGTCCTGGCCATACCGGTCACGGGCAGCAACAGCAGCATTCAACGCCCGTTGCAGGGAAGCAAAGGTAGCCTCCCGTGCCGACTCGCTTCTGGTCTTCTGGTGCTTAGGCCGCGAGGACGAAGCAGCCGGCGTTTTTGTCCGCTCGGCAGTGTTCTCCACTGATTGTTTGGGGGTATCTTTATCGGTCTCATCCTTCGAGTCTTTGGTGTCCTCCTTCGAGTCTGAGCTCTCCGTGGACTCCGACTTGCCGCGAGCGGCTTCTTCGGCCTCGGCCTTGGCCTTTTGCATCTTCTCGAACTCTTCTTGTCTCTTTTGTTGCTTAGCCTTTGCTCGGCGATTCTGGAACCAATTCTGCATATACGGTTAGTGAATGTATCGAGTATTCTGTGAGCCAATGGATAACTTACAGCAACTCGTGGCAGGCTCAGATTGGTTTGAGCCGCCAATTGACGCTTGACGTTGCTGCTGGGTTTGGGGTGCGCCTGAAATTGGGCCTCCAAGGTCTCAACTTGTTCCTTCGTCAACCTTGGGCGAGAGAGGTTCTCTGCATATTCTTCGTAGTCCATGATTGGTTGGTGGTAGAAGTCGACCATGTCAAAAGGCGGGTGAGGGTAGAGGTAGCCATCCATTGGATGCATCATGGACGGGTGGGCCATCGTTGGGTCGAAGGCAACCGGCTGCTCCATGGGGACGGCGGCATGGCCGGTAAATGCGTAGGGGTGGTGAAGATAATTCATGTTGTGCGAATCGGAGAATCAGAGTATATATAGAGATAGGAGGAAGAGTGTAGGAATTGTCGGAGGTGTTGAGGTGAGGCGAGTATAAGGTATTCAAGGTACAGGACCAGTTGCTGCCAACAAGCCGCAGCTGTGACGAGGCAACTCTATACCATTGAACGATTGAATCACAGAGAGAATATAGCTGGACTCAAACAAGCCAGGAGGAGGGGGAAGGCGGGAAGATAAGGACTTGAAGCAGGAGGGAGAGGAAAGGGAGGAGGGCGGCGGCGGGTAGTAGGGAATGACGGGACTGAAGTAGGCGGGCAAGCTGTCTAGGGTGTATATACTTGCAGCCAAGTGGAGTTATAAAGGAAATCCGATGTAGTAATGAGAGAGTATGAGAGGTTGAATCCAGAGACAGAGAGATATAGAGAGTAATTAAAAAGAGAGAGAGGAGGGGAACGAAGAGCAGGATCAAGGTATAAGTCCGATGAAGACAAGGCCGAATAGGACAGCACAGAAAGGGAAAAAGAAGGAATGAGTTGGACTAAGCTGACAGGGAAAAAGCAAGAAAATAAAAATAAAATAAGAATTAAGAAATTCAGAATAATAAAAATATTAATTCAAAAGGGAAATAGTAGAGGGAGTGACCAAAATGGAAAAGGAGAGTAGGAGGTGAAGGAGAGAATTGAGTGTGAGAAAGACTGTAAAGAGAGTAGGCAGAGAGTGTGTCGGGAGTGTGAGTGAGTGAATGAGAAAGAAAAGGAAAAAGGACAAAAGGGAAAAAAGGGAAAAAACAAAAAAACGAGAGGACTCAGAAAGGATTGACAGTCAGTCCGTCAGAAAAGAGTAAACTAACACTAACTGGAGAAAAGAAAGAGCAGCAGCAGCAACAGCAACAGCAGCAGCAGGAGAGGGTTTGGAGGGACTGGATTTCGGGGGGAGGGAGTGGGTGGTGCTGGCAGCTCGCCTATTGGCTAACGCTGGATGGGGAGAGATTGGCGGCGGCAGCCTGCCCGGCAAGAAGGTGTGGAGGGGGCCGCGCTGATTGGTGATCGCCGCCCGGAACTGGCTGGAGGAGCTTTGGTATCAGGGCTGTATTTGCTCCGTACCGTCAGTTTGGGCGAACTCCCCGTGTCCCGCAGCGCTTCGGGCTTTCGTGTGAACGCTCACACACACTCTCCCTTCTGGCTTGTCGGCTACAGCACATCTCGGATTGGCTATTTCGGGTTGTTCCTCTAGACTGTCACTTTCTGCTTGTCACTCTTTTCATTTGATTTTCTTTTTCATTATTTTATCTCTTCCGCTTTCTCCTCTTTCCCCTGCAAAAACCCCTCTCTGCAAATTCACACTCTATTTCCCTTCGTCACTTGAAACAAGCTCGCGGCAGAAAACATACTACCCAAACTAGTAGCTACCTACCCATTCAGTACTAGACCCGTCTCGGGGAACCAAACCGTTACCAGGTACGGTATTAAACACCCAAGGCATCGACCACCCAAAAATATTGGCCGACGGAGTGGGTTTCCTGGTGCTTCCGCCCGAGCGGTTCTAGGGGGTGGCGGCCTGGGCTCTCACACTCTCGGCGGACTCTTGAGTACGTACTACTATCTTGGGAAGCTAACTAACTATCGTCCTCACCTAAAAAAAACCACAAACTGAAATACTGTGTGGCTAGTGGTCTTGGAACAAGACGGAGAGGGGGTAGTAGATAGATGTCATTGATGTTTCAAAGGATTATACGAAGTTTTAGCTACTTGTTATATACCACACCTTATCTTAATCGTACCAACTGGAAACAGAGTCAGGATCTTCTCAGTCCCGCCGCCTTCCACAAGCAATGAGGGGAGGGTGTAACTAAGAGGCGCGCGCGCTTACTTCAAAAAAAAAAAAATGGAAGAAAAAAAAAATAAAAAAAAAAAAAAAAAAAAATAAAATGATAAATAAACGAAAATGAGAAAAAAAAAATTATAAAATAGTAGTTTTTTTTTATGTCTCTCTTTTAAAAATAAAATCGACCCAAAAAAAAAAAAAAAAAAAAAAAAAAAAAAAGTAGTGCGGTGGCGGCGGTGACTGTTTCTTCTCCTCTGGCGTCACTGTGAAAAGAACATGCCTATGCCTGTATGTACTCCATAGAATCATATGTAGGTCCGACGGGTCCGCAACGCATGCTGTACCTCAGAGTGAGCTCAGTTGCTTTTTTCCCTTATTATCGTCAGACCCGTCACGGTGGTACTGCTGTATAGTAAAATCCAAAAGTTCGCTTTTTTCGTTCGACTGCTGCTAAATGGTGGAAACAATTTCGTCACCTCGATTTACCCCATTTCTTTTTCGATTTAATTTATTTAGGTTTTCCATTTTTGTTCTTCTGCTTTTCTCTTCACAGTTCTAATGTGATGGTCATCTTTTCTTTTCCTCTCTTCCTGCAGCTTTGACCTGCAAAATCATAATTTTATTTACTTTCCCTCAGGAGGGATGTATACTCCTTAATCATGCTCGGCAATCATTATCAAAATTTTGGTCCACCGTATGTACCAAGGGTGCCCTGAGGGACCACAATTCTTAGTAAGTGAGAGTCAGACTGAGGAGTACTTAGTAGCAGAGAGTAAGTAAAGACTAGAGATGCGTGGCCTCCCATTGGTTGAAGTGGATAAGCCACCCCCCTCTCATCCGCACAAAGCCCTCGTCGTTCATCCCAAATGCCAGCGCTTGTTATTTCCCACACAAACCAAACCTGAACCCCGGCAATGGCTTAAACGGCAGCAATTAAGCTCCAGTGACAACTTGGTTGACAGTCTCACATACTTTCTCCCTATGAACCATGATTCCGAACAAAGCTGGGAAACAGCTGCGAGTTGAGTTGAACCCGGTCCCTGCTCCTACGGACTTTCGTCAGTTCCTGCATTAGCGCCACCAAAGCATCCAAAGCCGATTTTAGCTCTTCCCAGGGGGAAGGTTCCTTCTGGGCAGATCCGGGCAACTCAATGGCCCCGAGCGTAGCCACCAAGACACGCCGTCGGCAATAGTAGATTGTTGTTCACATCTCTTTCATTATTTTTTATTTATTTTTCCTTGGGGGTGGAAGGGGCCCCCAAGAGAGCGGGTTCTCCCACGCGGACGGAGTATCTAAGCTCTGCAACATCACGTCTTTCCCGACTGAGGAAAGCTTGCGCTAGAATCTCTCCTTCTTCACCCATGACCTTTTGACTCCCCGATCACGGCGGTCGGGGAACACGCCATCAGTGGGGCAAGTTCGTTTGAAAGGCGGCGTGAGAAAGTGAGCCATGAGATGGATCGCTGAGCCCACCGCCCACTTGGCCTATCCATGTCTCACGCCTTCTGGTGGCAGGCCGGGGGATCGCATGGCCACATCCTACTGGGCCAGTCTGCGATCACGGGGTGCTGGATGGGGAGAGAGTGAGAGAAAGCATCCAATGGCCATTCGGAGTTGTGGACGCCGACCAACGGATTAAGATTCACCGTACATATTCTGGATCCGGTTAGCGCCAGCGGTCCGAAGATCCCCAGCTTCCGATTGATAGTCCGTTCTTCTTACCCGACGGTTCCAACGACTCTTCACCACTCCCACGGGACGGCTTCGTGATGCTCCAGTGGCCCGCTCAGTGAGATAAGGGGATAGGATAAACCACGCAGTTCATCAACGTACGGAGTAGCATGGCACATCAGACAGAACTGGGGTTCATGAGGCCATGACGTGATCAAAGTACTCCCTCCTGAGTCCTGAGAGACCCTCTTATCCACCCCCCACAGACTGCCATGGCAATCGACGCATCCGACCATCACAATTGGTACTTTGCTCTCCTTAGGGTGTGCCAGAACAAAGAGAGGTGAAGCGGGGAAGGAGCTCCGGCCAGCCGAAAGAAAGTCAGTAAAGTCAGTAACTCAGTCAGTCGATTTATGCCTTGACTTCGCCTTTCCCACACCTTCTTCCCCCATAATAGCCCCCATACCGGACGTACCAGATGCATTGGCCTTCAATTCCCGTATGAATGGACACCGTCCCAGTAACTCAATTGGCACGGATCTCTGCAAAAAATGCCTGTCATGCTTTTCCCGCAAGGTCCTTGGGAACTCACGGACTTGCTATTCGCCAATAGGTAAATATTTTCTTTCTCTGATAATTCCTTTCCTTCAGTGAATAAAAAAAAATATATTAATAAATTAAAAAGCGAAGGAAACACACAAAAAAAAAAAAAAAAAAGAAAGAGCCATCGGGAAGGACGTGAAGAGAGAGAGGGAGAATGAGAGAACAGACCGCGCCGGCTGCAAAAGCGTGGCAGCAGCTCAGCCAAAGACCCACCAAAACCAATAGTCGACAGATCCTCGTCGATCCGCCTCAGGGATCTGTCGATTGTCGAACATCTCTCACCTTTCCTTTTTCTTCCAATGCTCTCGGGATCCGATGATAGGACTCCCTTCCTTCCCCCCTCTCTTTCTCCCCACTCTGAGCGCCCTACACGCGTGAGAACTTTCTGCGAAATCCGCCATTCGTCCGTTTGAATTTCTGGCTTCTGTCAAACCAGGCCATAATCGACGCTAATCATGATTGTGGTCACAGACACAGGCTCACTCGCTCACTCGCTCGCCCCCCAAGTCACGAGATGACGCAGCAGTGATCTGCAATCTGCTCTCATGCAGCAGCAGAAGGACCGGGGGTCATTAATGTCATGTTAGGGGGGCGGATCTGGTCTGACGCTATCATATGCGCTTCCCACAGGTCTCGATGGGCAACGAGAACTGTTGAGCCGAAATACATATGCATGCACGCATGCATGGGTATAATCTTTTGGTTCGTCTGTGAGCCTATTTCCTTCGTTCTCGCGACCGCCATGCACCTGGCCCCAGTCCGTCCACAGTCGGACGATGATGCTGGCCAGGGATGTCCCCAAGAAGAGGGCTCCAGTCTGGCGGGGCCCATAGCCTGACTACGACACACACTGCGTTCCAGAGAAGTATCATCTGACTACAATCCGTGGGGAATGATACGAAGTAGTTGATAGTGGGAGGAGTAAGTACTTAGTAGTTATCTGAGGCCCAAGTGGAACCAGATAGATAGGGGGGCGCGGGAGAGGGGCCAAAACAATGGGGTATTTCCCATACCGAGTTTCGAGCGGTGCTAAAGTACATACTACTAACTACTAACTATCTCGACACACTCCGCACACGGAGTAATTATACTGGACCGTCAATGCTGAACTACGAAATATGGAGTTCACCATGATTGAAGGGCAAGTACTCCATCCAGGTGCCAGGGTAACCGGGATTCCCTCTCCAACCAACCACGAAAACGCACCGGGTCTCTCGGGTTCACGTGTATGTATGCAGCACCTTAAAAACAGCTTAAGCACATCGTACTGGGAACACCTTGCCACAAGCTGTCCACCCAACAGCAATGGCCCTGCAACAGATGGGTTCATGTCGCGTAACCTGACAACCCCTCAAACAAGCTCAGACCAATCAGCACAGGCGTATCCCGGCGTGGACTCACGTCTCAGAGCTTGAGAACAGTCCTGGGCGTGCAACATGGATCTTCTCAGAACAAGAATGAGGATCTGACTATTCTGCCTAGTCTGAGCTGGCTCCCTGTGAGGATCCACCACCACTCCCACCACCACCCGCACGGATCGCTTCCACCGCGATCCTCATAGGCTGATGGGATCTCACAGAGGGCCGTTGTCGCCCGAATGATAGAGGTCTCAAATTTTGGACCCTGGAAGGGAAAACAAGCAAATACATGGGAAGGAAGCGAGCGAAAAGAAAAGAAGAGGGAGAAAAAGCAAGAAAAATCCCCGATGATCCTCGGTGCATGGGAGTGATGGTCTGTGATACCTGAGTGGAGGATGAGTGGATGGGTGGGTGGATGAGATGGTACACTCTGAAAATGGAAGTCAGTGATGACCCCCCCGACCCCCAATCCTCCCCTGAAACTGGAAGCCTCACTGAATATCCTAACCTGAAGTATACTTAGATGCTGATCAGGCTGGCCAGTGGGAGCCGAGTTGCTGGACCGGGGCCCCGATCCTCAATAGCATGGGATCCCCCGTCTGGGTATAAGGTTGACTTGGCACTGGGGGATCCTCCCCTATTGACGGCCGGTCGCCTGTCCGTAAGGAAAAACTTCCCTGCTTACATACCATCCGAACTCCATCTGCCCATCCCCCTGGGTCTGATCATTCCGTGGCAGCTACCCTCCGCTTGTCACATCTGGCCGGGATACTGTCTAGTGTGACAATCACCATCCGCCATGATCGTATCATTACTAACAGGGGAGGGAGGGGGATGAGATTGTATTGCCCACTCCAACTTCCCATGCACTGGCTCGAATTTAGTGCGATTGGAACCCAGCATGGCCATGCATATGTGGATATGTGGGCCTATCTGGGCGTCGATTGCCATGGCTTTCCTTTTCCCCCTCCGTAGTAGTGCCTTCTGCCTCATCACTAACTAGCTTACTCCGGCCACGCCGTGTTGAACGCGACGTTCAGCTGCGACACTCAACGCCACAGAGCTGAATCTGTGGCGGTGCGTTTTCGAGCGTCAGCCACATGTAGATCACCGGACTAGTGAGGGCCTCAGGCCCTAGACGATCTTCCTGCTAGTGAGTATCACCGGCCTGTCTTTAGGCGTTCTCCGAATAGCGTGACTGTCAGCACCAGGACTTGCAGACTTGACTCAAGATGACTGCCTGTGGGTGGACGGAACCCAAAATGCTTCACCGCGATTTGTCATGGCATAACAATAGCCTCTTCGATCGATAGGCTCTCAGCGAAGCCGCCACACGGCACTTCGATCTGCCTGCCTATTCTCTATCCTAATCTTGTTTAACTCCGTGATTGTGCCACCGTGCTCAACGCTCAGGGCGGCTAACTTCCCTGACGACCCCGTCATCGTGTTCCAGGTTCCCAGGTTCGAACCAGGGCTGACGGAGTGTGACGAGTTGGGTTGCTGTACAAGAGATCACATCGTTGTTGCCTGAGCTGCAGCAACGGTGAATGATTCTCGTCACGAGTGGGTTTCAGTTGACTGGCCGATCCACTTCCCTTCTCTCGCCGTATGATAATCACTCTGCTTCTCATTGACTAGTGATACAGTGTAATACCCATAAGCACCGCAAACCAAAGACTCCTCTTTCCAACCAAAATGGCAAGAAGGGGGAAAAGCATAAAAAAGAAAGAAGAAAAGAAGGAAAGATGTGACTCCACCTCCTCCATCACAACACACTCCCGGCAGGCCTACATCATCCCTTGCATAGGGCGTCAGACGCAGCTTGAGGGAGGGGGGATGGGCCAGATGCACCTCGCTGGGCCATGGACGAGCTCAACTCGATCTCCGGCGCCGAAGCAGCAGGGATCGCGCCGATCGAAGTTCGCCGTCAACAAGTCGACCCATCTCTTTTCCAGAATCTGATCGCCCCCTTCTCTCAACGAGGCGATCCTCTTCGGGTCTGCGATGTGCAACCGATTCCCGCCACTATTGCAAGTTTTCTTTTTCGTTCCCTTCCCCCTGGAATCTGCAATTGTGCTGCTGGCTCGTGTCCTCCGAACGGGCAGCCGCCGCTGGGTGGCCCCTACTACTGTACAGGATGTATGCACATAGGGGATTGCGTCCTTTTGGCACAATCCGTTTGTTTCTTGTTGTTTCGCCACGTCTCATCCTCTCACACACATTTCTCTCTCAGATCATCTTTTGGACCGTGTGTTTCGGCCACCTACGTATTCCCAGAAGACTTGGGTGCAGTCGTAATGTTCGGGAGGTTCCTAAGTATAACCATTGCAGCAGCCACTATGCAATAAGTCCCAGCTCTGCTATGGCCACTTCGCGTTACCTACTCAGGTACTACTGGCTTGTCTGCCTACTTACCTATTCCTCCGTCCCGCGCGACGGGACCCAGAATCCCGGAAGTAAAAAAGAAAAAAGAAATAAAGTAAGAAAAAGAAAGCGAGGAGAGACAGACCTACTTCCAGCAACTCCAATCGGTTCGGGAGGAAAGAAACCACTCGAAACTTGTCGGTGAGAGCAATCCAGGTCGGTGACCAGCAATCCACCGCGCGCAGCCGTTTAACTTAATCTTCTGATATATTGCGCTCGGCTTTCCGAAAATGCCTCAGCGGATGAGATCTGTCACGACAGGGCGAGCGAGTACCAGAGAAGCGGTCTTGAGCTAAGTTGACTTTCGCCGGTGTGGAAATGCACTGACGGTCTTGTCTGTTCCTAGGGCTGTTGTCACCGACATGCATACATACAGTATACTTGGTATAGTTGCGTACTTACAGTAGTCAACCAGTCTATTACTCGCTCGTCGAAAAAAGGGCTGGCTGGGGTGCTCCATACGGAGTCCTCCCCGGATTGTTTCTCCATCGGAGCTGATCTGAGCTGAGCTGAAGCAAGCTCTCTTGCCACTTCCTACTTTCGGGTCCTTGATTAGTCTACCTAGTCTTGCTTAGTACCTACCTACCAAAAAGCAAAGCGGACTCAATGATCTGCTGCTGCTTCACCGCTAGCTAACTATCTAGCATGGAGCTTCCCTCTTTTACTTTTCGGAGGGTCTGTCTGCTTGCCTGCACTGTGCTTACTGTAGGTACAGCTTCTTCCCCCAGCACTTACTACTAACTAACCTGTCTACTGTACGAAACTACTTACGACCCGACACTAGTCTGTCATGTCTCCTTGGGAGTTAGACAGATGCACGGAGAGTATCCTGCTTACTTACGGAGTACATGATCTACTTATTTCCTCTCTTTGGGGAATGGGGGACATTGGCGCTACGCTATGTGCTATGTACTAACCTGCAGACAAGCAGCAGCAGCAGCAGCAGCAGCAGCAGCACTAAGCTCCATGTTCCACAAGACAGACGACAAGCTCTATTGTATACTCTATCTCGAGCTAAGCTAAGGTAAGGGTCTGGTGAGTAAGAAGATAGTCCATCACATCACAGACAGGCAAGCAAGCAGTCAACACGGCACGGAATACTCTTTAAGATTTCCGGTGTGAGACATACAGCTTTCGCTGTCATCATACGACTCACTTACATATCCCGACCCGTAGTGGAAACACATATACCTATTCACATCTAAGTTACTTAGTAGTCTGAGCTACATGATTGCTACTAAATAGAATCATCTTTACTACTGACTACTTACATCATACTGAAAAGCAGATGCTCACTACCCAGTCAAGAACCAAAGACCAAGTTCATATGAATATGATTACCATCACAAACTCCCCTTCCTCGCAACTTAAAATATCAACCCCCCCCCCCAAATAGCTATCTAGTCACTCACTCACTCACTCACTCACTCACTCACTCGCTTACTACCTTCATACACAAGGGGAAATAGCTAACTAAAGAAAAATCTACTACCCTCTCCAATTTCCTAGTAGTCATGGAGAGCATAGCAAAACAAAGTAAACCACATCAATACCTTCTCTCCCAACCTGCTCTATAAAACAATCATCCATCCATCCATCCACCTTCAAGCAAATCCAAAACCCCACCTCCCATTTCCAGTACTACCAGACATACATACTATGAGCGACCAACCGACGTATCTGAGACCGATACAAAAATGCAATATCAAATTCGATCTAGATCACACCCAACCCCACTGTTATGAATTCAAACTTTGAGGGGGGTGGGTGGTATCTGCCATTTCTGCGTTGGGTTATATGAGGAGAGAGAAGGGAGGATATTCAAGGGACGTACGTACGTACGTTAGTTAGTGGCATGCAAGGTAAAATGGAATCGAATGGAACGGAGCGGTAGTGAAGGGTGAAAAACGTTGGGGGGGGTGGGGTGGGGTTTTCTTGGGTCGCTCTGGTGATGGTGAATGAGATGAGATGAGATGTGTCATATTTGGGGTACGTATAGTGATTAGTAGTTTACTATGTGATCGACTAGTTGCGTTGTTTGTTGTTGGTGGGTAGAGACTACTAGGTAAGTATGTATGTATGTATGTAGAAAAACGGTTCTTCGCTGGTCTATCTAATGATAACTTGACTTACTCGAGGTAGGTCAAGTAGGTAGGTATCTGTCTATGTACAATCGAGGGTTCTGTCTAAGAATCTTCGTAGTAGACTGGACCCCGATACTGTGACCCGCACACAATAAAGGGATCAAAAAATCAGGCTAAATGTCAATCGAAATCAAGGAAGTGGATAAGAAGAGCATGGATAAATCCAAAAGGTAAAAAGGATAAGATGCCCGCAATCTATTGGATCCAAACTTTCGTCGTCGGGTTTCCAGAAACCTCCTCCACCTGGAGTTAGTTCAAAGTTCAAAGTGTATCCCCTTTATTGGAAGGCGTTCCGGATTTCCAACTGCATCTGGCCATCGACCACGCCCTTGATGCTGATGCTTCTCAGATCCTCGACGATCCAGTCGGCACCGGCTTCTTGGAGCTGCGCAAGCGTGTGGGTCGTCGTGAGCGCAATGACTTTGAACCCGGCCGCCTTACCAGCCCTGATGCCCGACGGCGCATCCTCCAGAACTACCAGAGACGAGGAATGCTCCAGACCCAGGCGCGTCCGACCAAGCAGATAGCACCGGGGGTCAGGCTTGCCCAGCTCGACATCTTCCGCCACCACCAAGACCTTGGGGTGGGCGAGGTTCAGCACGCCCAGCCAGCCGTCCACCAGCGCACGCGTTCCAGAGGTTACCACGCCCCAGCGAGCGCCGGCGTCGTCCAACGCTGACATGAAATACCGCGCCCCGGGAATCTCGACGGCGTCCGACCCGTATTCCTTCGGGATGCGACCTTCGATGTAGCTGACATCTGGCGGTTGAGAAAGCAACTGGTCAGTCTGCTGTATGCTGTATGTGGTAGATGGACGATAAGGAAGAGTGGTGGTGGTGATGGTGGTGGTTTCAGGTTGGAGTTTCTCAATCGAACTGCAGAGTGTCCAGAGGAATACACTTACACTCCCAATTGGCCTTCTTCGGGTCGTACAACTGGATCGTGTCGATGCTTCGGCGGCCGTGGGAAGTGGCCAAAATGGTCTTGGGGTCAACGCCCAACTCCGCACCGATTCTGCAAGTGATGATTAGGACGGATGGCGTTTGATTACACGGAGGGAAGTGGTGGGGACGAACTTGTGCCAGTGTTTCACAATCGCTAAAGATCAGATGTCAGTGCATGGTTACAGAGGAGGGGTATGTGTGAATGAGGAGGGGGGACTGACCATCGGTTGAGTCGACGATAGTGCCGTCAAAGTCGGAGAGTAGTCCGTCAAAAGTGTGGACTTGCGGAGGGGCAGAGAAGGAGCCGGATGGTCTAGACATGACAATGGCGGGGGAAGTAGGACAGAAAAATCCAGGGCCAACACAAGGTGGGGGTAGAAGGAATGGAGGACAACTCAAAGAATGTGAGTAAATAGATGTAAGGAGTGGACACAGTCAGCACCGCCAGTCAGCAAAAGGAGGGACAAAAGGGAAAAGAAAAGGTGGGTTTCAGGCTTCAGGCAGAAGGAGTGAATGAGTTGGTAAGTCGTGAGAGAGAGTCCGTCCAAAGGAACGAACGAATGGCAGCGCCGGATATCCATAGTCTGTAGTAAGAAAGTATGCCGGTATTACCGGAGATCGGTGTTTCATTGTGCCGGTTATCTTAGCGCCTTGCCGCCGAAATCTTCTTGGCGGCACAAAATTGTTCGGGCGGATCAGAGTGAGTCTCTGTGCTTTGGATCGCCTTTTTGCTCAGAGACGGTTAAGGGGTTATCAGGCAAGATGGTCAAGCTAGGTATGTTCGCTTCATCGGTATTGTCATTGTCCTCTGCTAACCCTTCTTCCAGGCAAAAACTCCAAGCGGGTTCCCGTCCGCCTACGACACAAGATTGAAAAGGCCTCCGCGGCCAAGCAACGCAAGCAGAGAAAGCTTGCAAAGAAGGTACACCACTTCTCTTGCATGTTTCTGCATCATCATTGCTCATACTAATGCTGCTTGTAGAACCCCGAGTGGCGCTCCAAGATCAAGAAGGACCCCGGTATCCCCAACCTGTTCCCGCACAAGGACAAGATCCTCCACGAGATCGAAGAGAAGAGACGCTTGAGGGCGGAGGAACAACAGCGCATTCGCGATGAGGCCCGCGCTCGTCGCCAGGCTCAGAAGGAGGGTGGCGCTGAGGAGGACCCTGCTGATGCCAATGTCATGATTGATGAGGACGATCTGATCGACGACGATATGGACGAGGATGTCGGTGACTCCTCGAACCCCATGGCGGCGCTGCTTGCTTCCGCCCGTGCCAGAGCTGCCGAGTACGAGGAGGAGCACTCCGATGATGAGGACGATGAAATGGATGAGGACGACTCCGACGACGAGGATATGGACGAGATGGACCAGGACGAAGAAGGCGGTGCCAGTCTGGACGTCTCCGCCCCGATCACCCAGAGCACTTCGAAGGAGAGCTCGCGACGGGCCTTCGACAAGGTTTTCAAGCAGGTTATTGACAACGCCGATGTGGTGTTGTACGTTCTGGATGCCCGTGATCCCGAGGGCACTCGGTCCAAGGAGGTGGAGCGCGAGATCATGTCCGCCGACGGAGGCAACAAGCGATTGATCCTGATTCTCAACAAGATCGATCTGGTTCCTCCTCCGGTTCTCAAGAACTGGCTGATCCATCTGCGCCGCTACTTCCCCACGTTGCCTCTCAAGGCCTCCAACGGCTCGGGCAACGCTCACAGCTTCGACCACAAGCAGCTGACCGTCAAGGGCACCTCCGAGACGCTCTTCCGCGCGCTCAAGTCGTATGCGCACAACAAGCAGATGAAGCGGTCCATCTCCGTCGGTGTGATCGGTTACCCCAACGTCGGCAAGTCGTCCGTCATCAACGCCCTGACGGCCCGTCTAAACAAGGGTTCCAGCAACGCTTGCCCCACGGGCGCCGAGGCCGGTGTGACCACCAGCCTGCGGTCCGTGAAGCTGGACAGCAAGCTCAAGCTGATCGACTCCCCCGGTATTGTCTTCCCCAACTCGAGCGACAAGGCCAGCAAGAAGAAGAAGAAGCAGGAGGAGCACGCGCGTCTGATCCTCCTGAACGCTGTTCCCCCCAAGCAGATCGAGGACCCCGTTCCCGCCGTGTCGCTGCTGCTCAAGCGTTTGTCGACATCGGACGACCTCATCTCCAAGCTGCTGCAACTCTACAACATCCCCCCGCTCATCCCGACCGGTGGCGACCAGACGCACGACTTCCTGGTCCATGTGGCCCGCAAGCGTGGTCGTCTCGGCAAGGGTGGTGTGCCCAACATCGAGGCCGCCGCCATGACGGTGATTAACGACTGGCGTGATGGACGTATCCAGGGCTGGGTTAACGCTCCTGTGCTGCCGGTAGTGACTACGGCAGAGGGCGCGGCGGCGCCGGCCGAGGGCGTGGATACGAAGCAGATTGTGACGGAGTGGGCGGCAGAGTTCAAGATTGAGGGATTGTGGGGCAATGGGGAGGATGATGAGATGGCCGAATAGATGTTTTTCTCATGGATACCAGGCGTTATGGTTCTTAAAAGGTAGATAGTGTCAATTGCGATGAACATATACCGGACCAAGTTAGTATGTCAACGATAAGCAGTAATGCAGAAGTAACTTATGGGGTAATTCATTGGTATTTATTTGTTAGCTCAACGGTGTATATGTAGTAATTCAAATAGTACAGTAGTCATCAGCAGTATGATGATACTAGTACTATAGTGGTTGACCAGGCTCAATTCCAACATTGAGCAGTGTAGAATATCCAGACCAAAATATATAGTTGGATGGCACCTCACACCTAACACAACTCACCACTTCAACCTCTTCACCTCAACTAATGTAATAATATATAAACAATCAATAAATCACATCCAAATCACCAATAACATAAAACAATCACCAAACCCTAACACCCTCGTACTACCCAACATACAAAGTTAGTAGTACATACGTAGTTACAGAAAAGAAACCTTATCACCACCCACCACCCGAAGCGATACGATACGATAATCACCCCCAAAGATTCCCCCCGATTCACACGCGCCGCTCCTCCTCCGCGTTTCTGTCGCGTCACAATCCATTTCTGCACAAGCAATTTTTTAACGAACCAACATCAATCACTCACCCCAAAACCGTATAACCCAACACCTAATCTCCAAGCGTTAATTTACCTGTCTTCCACAAAATTTCGACAAAAACAGAGACAGGACACCGAAAAGAGAAAAGAAAGAAAGGCACCAACCATGCCCCGAAAATCCACCAGCAGCAGCACGCCCGGCGACGACGGCGGAACAGCAGAACAATCCCAAATATCCCAAATACACCACTCTCAATCCCCCTCAGATATCGTCCACCTCCCCGAATCAACAGGACAGATGGTCGAAGCGACAGAACAGCAACTTAAGGCGCGCGCGGAAGGGGGTGTGAGTATTGAGGTGTGTATATCCATTCCTCCCTTCCTTCCTTATATCCAAACATATATATGTGTATATATATATGGGGCAATATCATAACTACCAGGTATCTAACGATAATAAATTATGGTAATAGGACTACCTCCTCCCCCGCTCCCTCACTCTCCGACTAGCAAAATCCGTTCTTCCTCCGAATACATCCATACAGAAGGATGCGGTATTGGCGATTCAGAAGGCCGCGACGGTGTTTGTGTCATATTTGTCGTCGCAGTATGTTTTTCCCTCCTACCTCTCCTATTCATTCTTTTAGATCTTTCTGCATCCAGGAGGAAAATATATTGACATTGGGGCTGTGTATAGTGCCAACGAAGCAACCCTCAAACGAACCGTCGCCCCGTCGGACGTCTTCAGCGCCATTTCGGAACTAGAATTCGATGGATTCCGCACACGATTGGAGCAGGAGTTGGAGGCGTTCACGGAGTTGAAGGCGGGGAAGAGGAGGGCGAAGAAGGGGGATACTAGTACTACTGCTGCTGCGGCGGAGGGAGTGGGGAAGGGTGGGGATGCTGAGGAGGAAGAAGAGGATGGGGATAGAGGGGTGAAGAGGGTGAAGCGGGCGGAGGAGAAGAAGAATGGTATTGGTGGTGGAGAGGAAGAGGAAGGGGATGAAACGCAGGAGGAGCATGAGCAGGAACAGGAGCAGGATGATGAAGAGGAAGAGGACGAGGAAGAGGAAGAGGAGGACGACGAGGAAGAAGAGCACAAAGATGATGATGATGAGGATGAGGAAGAGAATGATATTGATCGGGTGGAGGATTTGGATCGGGCGAAACGGCCGATGAATCCGGATGTTGAAGGGGATGAGTCGGACAGTGAGGATGAGGATGGACCGGGGAGTCAGCTGCGAGGGGATTTGGGACTGGGTTAGATTGTGTTTTATGATGATTATGTGTGTATGGTATGGTATATGTCTTGTTCTCTGTTTACGGCTGATGGTTATGCGGCAACGAAATGGATTGTTGCATATCACTTCTACTCCATATCCAATGTACAATGTGTTGATACCCAATTCAACTTCATCACAACCAGCTGCTCATTATATTCACCACGTGGGGACTCCTTGAACTCCGCACTCACAACGCCCACAAGGGCTTGCCTATGTTGTACAATCATTGGTGCAGTTGACGCCACAAATCAGAAGAGTACCCAAGGGACTCCAACCAGCTATATAGCTGCTGCTTGAAGCAGTGAGGTGAGCCCAATTGACATCTTCATTATCCCACCCAAACGCCATGTCCCATAGTCTATCATTGGTATCGCCATTAACTGAAATTGAAAAGACTCCCCAGGAAGGCCTTAAATGTAAAATAATAGTAAAGGAGAAGAAAAAGAAGAAAAGAAGACGGGAAGACGCGCTGACGCAGACCCGAGCCGAGTCATGCGGTCGGCTCGTTCAGTAACAGATTCATTCCTCGGGGAATAGAGTCAGGAGAAATGGTCTCGTTCTGTCGCCACCGACCGCTTGGTGGAGGAGTAGAGGCACCCTTGCCCACCATTTTGGGGAACGTCTGATTCGGTCCGTTGTTGCGAGCAGCGCCCGGAGCCAACGGGTGCATCGCCTTGGTGTCGTCCTTGTCCAGCTTGGTCGACTTGTCACTTGTGGCAGCTTTCTGAGCCTTGGTGACCCTTCCGAAATTGTTGATCTTGGAGTTCTTCGCTGGCTCGGCCTTCTTTGGTCGTCCTTTAGGCGCAGCCTTCTTCGGAGCCGCTTTCTTTGGAGCAGCCTTCTTTGGCCCGTCTGTCTTGGCCGCCTGCAGCACATCTGTAATGCTCCGTCCGTTGCTGGCGGGGTTCGGGCGACCTTTCTTCGCCAAAGGTTTGGATTCATCCTCATAACTCGACGATGGAGTAAGGAAGCCTGTCGGAGTGGGTCGTTTCTTGCTGGGGGTGACAACCACCGACACCTCGCCTTGTTCTTTCTTCACTCGTTCCACTTCCGAAGAATTACACTCATCAAACACGTCGTCCTGTGCATCCCAGCGCTTCAGATTGGCCAGCCGCGCAACTTCCTCACAGTCGCCCTTGACCATTAGATCCCAACAATCCTCAAACTCCTTGCCGGTGGGGTACTCATTGTTGATCCACATGGTCACTCCGTTACGGCGACTCCGAATGACGGAGCAAAGACTCTTTACCAGGCGACGCACTCCGGGAATCTTCAGACTCGTACCGACCACAATTAGAGCGTCCGGGCGAGAACGGATGTCAGCATTCATGACGGACGTGATGGCCTCCTCGTCCGGGTTGTGCTCGTTGTACAGAACAATGCGAGGTCTCATCTTGCCGATACCATGGCTACGTTGGCCGGTTTCCATACGGAACTGATTGTTACGGCAGCACTCCGGGCATTCGGGGGCATCGGGACGGTCAAATAAGCCCGCATCGAAGTCACTCAGATGTCGACATTTCTGGCAAACCATCTTGTCAAGACTGCCATGCAATTGGATGGTGCGTGGCCAGGGCGCTTTGACGTTCAACGGGATCTGCGTGGCCAACGGAGGCATTGAGGTCTCAATGCCATCGATGTTTTGTGTGTAGAGACGAGTGAGACGGTTCTCCTGGCCCAGTCGCGCCAGCATGTGGTGGAAAGCTGTGGGAGAGGTCTTGGCTGCTTCCTCGGACAGCGACCGTACCATGTCCTGGAAGGAGGCGGTCAACGCCTCATCCTGGTAGACGGCTGCATCGAACAAGAGCTTGCCCGATGCTTTGAGGTTATGTTTCTTCTGCAGAGTCTTGAAGAGACCGTCGGTCGAGCGGAAATCAGGAACTATGATAGATTAGAAAATACGAGGAAAAGAGGCAAGAGCGGACAGTCGCGTGGTGGTGACAGAATCAGGAGTGGGGATGGGAAAGCATACTTCCTGCGGAGGTGGAGATACCCGCACCGGCGATGACGACAATTTTGCGGTGACGCTGAATCGTTTTGACGAGATAGTCAATTTGCGACTGCTGTTCAGTGTAGGACAAGCCGGCGGTGGCCGACAGGTCGAGATGCTGAGTCCGGCGTTCTTTGGGGGCGGCGACCCGACGCTTCTTCCTGGCGGGCGGCAACTCGTCTTGGCTGCGGGCGGCGCTAGGCTCATCCGCGTCCTGCGACGGGGGCGGCGACGGATAGAAACCAGGCGGTGCCAGAGGTGATGCCGGCGCTGAGCTTAAACTCGAGCAATCCGAGTCATCGTCCATGCCTAATGACGCCAGAAGGCTTTTCGGAGACGAGCGGGAGGAGTTGGTAGTGGAGTGTGTAGTTGTGGTGGTGGTGGTGGTGGTGGTGGTAGACGAAGTAGTGGCAGTACGACGGGGCGCCATTTAGGTCAGGCCGTCGCAATGACGAAGCAAACAGCGAGCACAAAGAGATCGGGGGGAGAAAAATTGGAATCGAGGGTGGGAGGGAAAAGACTCAAGGAGGGCTCGCTGTTCACGGAAAGCTGGGGGGGATCAAAGCTAGATATCGTCCCGAGAGAAAACCATGGAGGACCGGAAAAGAAACGGAAAACATCAATTGACAAGTGGGAATGACGGTAAGGGGGATAATTTCGGACAGATATTGCTTCTTTGTTTTCCCCTGTCGTTCACGTCTGGCTCCCTGACTTCGGGCGGAGGTAGTAGCGAGAAGGGAGTTGGGTGGAAGAGGAAGAAGAAGAAGAAGAAGAAGAACGACGAAAAGAAGACAATGGAGGCAGATGAAGAAGAGGAGGAGGAATGGGCAGCACAAGAGGAACCGCCCCGTGACTGGGACAGCGCAAGTCTGGGTCGAGGACAGCAAGTGGTGAGGTCAAGTGGAAAACGGACGGAGAGGGAGAGCGAAAGAAAAGGGCTACTAGTAGCAAGCCAGCACAACTAGAATGGACTGACTGACTGCTGCTTGGGAGTGTTGCAGCAAGTTCGACGGCAGGCCGGTCAGATCCTCTCGCTTGCAGTGTGTTTATTTTGACCCACGGGTATCGCTCGGGAAGAGTCGATGAAGGCTCTGCATCAAAGAGGGCTAATGGGAAATTGGGGGGGGCTTTGAGGTAGAGGGACTGAGGGTTGACCTGCAGCAAAAACACAAACTCGGGCAACGAAGTGGTATGCCCAGAGGAATGTGTCTGGAAACAAGAGGGGTAGATAGATATGATCGCGTGTTGATCAAGTTGGGATGAATGCCGGGGGGAATGATGATATTGCTCTACTACACCTAAATTTACTAGTGTTTGGGACATGCTACTACTATACTGCTATGCTACTAACACACACTTTGATTGCCAGTTACATTACATTGTTACGGGGTTGCAGTGACTATTGGGAATTTTCCCGTATCAACCCTGTATGGACAGCCCGGTGGGGGCAGGCTTTTGGGTGCATTTGGGGTTAACCTCGTCTCTTTTCTCCTGCAAATTCGGTTTTGTGCTGCCAATCTCGTTACCGATCCCGTACCGCGCTAAAGGGGGCTGTCGGCCTGGGGAGCTTCTTCCATTGGCCGTGGAAGCTTCATCCAATTCTCCGGCCAACCACAGCCCAAACATATACTTGCCTGTGCGAGGCAATCCTCACCATGTCTTTCCCACATATTGGAGAGCTGGCGGAATCAACAAAGAGGTCGGATATCCCTTTTGTTTAGTGAATATTCCCTAGCATAACTCGAGTGGGCTCGGCTGCAGTTATCAGAATCCCACATCGCGACCGTCATGCGCACTAGCCGGCCTCCGACTATCGTTCCGAATCCGTCGCGTCAAACGCTACGATTGTTGGGAAGGCTGAGCGTTTATTTCATAATCAGCAACCAGGGTCACGGGGATACCTTATGTATGCTCGTCATCTCCTTGCGGGGCTGACCATCTGCCAGTAGAATTTGTGATATAATTATCGTATAAATCGTGAACCCATACTAAAATCATTGCTGCTGCCTTTACCATGGCATTGATATTCACATTTTGTCTGTGTGATCGAACCGGACACAGCATTATCCACGGACGGACCAGCGCGGGGTATCGTATGAAGATACCAGTCAACATATGCTTGAGGCATTTGTCGGAAAGTGCGGCGCTGTTCTAGCAAGAACTGGCATGATCCGGTTTTCCAGGGTGCCGGATCTTCCACGGACTTTCGTTCCCCGCACCTGTATTATTGTTGAGTTGCGTTCTCTGCTATCTGAAGAGCGAACTTGATTGTAGATACGTGTAATTGATGAGATGTGTTTGCTAATCACCACCGAGCTCTATGGAGGAGTCGCGTCGGTTATGTTCTCCCGCATCATCTGCCGGGCCTCGTGTTTCTTTCTCCGTCCGATCAGGCGCTCATCTTGTTGCTAGCAAGCCCACTGTAAGACTGCACTATGACTGCAATTCAGAAAACATCCCTGCTATAGAGGAGGGTGCTATCATTTCGGCTTGGTTTGCAATATATCATCCGTCTGAGATAATCGGACGTTGTTTGCGGGAAGGTGGATGATTCGACAAGTGAGGCGGGTTGAGCCCCGCTCTTTAAACGGTCTTCTTCTCCATCTTGAACGATGCAATAGACGCTTCTCTCGGATGACATGTCTTTTAGCCCACGAATTAGGGAATGAGATATCATTAGATAGCTCATATTCGTTGCTGTAAGTAGTAGTAAGGAACCATCACACACCATGCCCTTCCGTATCTGGTCTGAACATGTTTCTTCACAATGCCGTTGATGGCGGGCTTTTGCGACTATTACTTCCGGAAATTCCCCAGTTCACGGAATTATGACGCATTTACTAACAGACAGTGGTTATTGCATCTAAAAGGGTACAGCCGCAGCTGGCATTAGTGAGCAAGCGCTTGGTTGTAAGCCGACCGCAGACCTCAAGCAAGTACTAGTGTTCCAAGTAGTAGTCATGATAGGGTTCACGATTGACGTATATTGGCGGGAACTATAGGAAAATCTGCACGGTCGCCTAGCACAGACTTGGCCTATTGACAACTCCTTTGTTTTACATAGTATCCCCCGGTGCTAAAATGGCAACTGCCACAAAGCGGTCAAGGTGGTCGTGCAGCTCCTGGAACTTCCCTCCAGCAGCGAAGTTCAAAGATGAATGGATCTCGCCGATATCGTTGCGCCCATGGCTGGTGGGGCCGGTGTGATTGGTTGTCCTGGTTACGACAGCACATGACCTCACATGACGCTGACTAAGAGGCGCGGAGAGCTCCACCTGACCACTAGTCCCGAATAATGAAACTATCATCTTGGAGAGTCAACTTAGCCCATGATCATCCTCCCAGCCAAAGGGTAGCGTCTGGATCCGGGGTTTGAATGCCATGAGGGTTCTGTCTGCTATCAACTAAGCCCTTTGCATATCATTCAGTGCCCCTCTGTGGCTACACCCCGCCCATCTTACCTGCGCAATTGCCTGCCGAGGTTCAATTGTATCGAACTATGATATCTGAGTCTTGCGATCACTGGCCTCCCAAGACATTTTATTACCCCCATTGGATTTAGAGCTTCGCACCCCACAATGCCCTTAATGATGGACGATAGTATCAATGTTGACGATCTATTTGGCGAGCCCACCTCCCTCGAGCTGGGCCTGCCACCATCGGCTTCTTCTGCCAGGGGCCTTGCCCAGCGTCTGGATGAGATGCGACTTCTTGGCTGTTGCCAGTAAGTTACTGTCTTCTGAGGTGTCGCGAAACCTAGCTCGAATCTGTAGGCTAATTTTGTTCAAAGGAAGATTGCATGGTCCAAACTGGGATGTATTGCTTACATCTCACAGGACTCCTTGAGGGTGAAAGTCCGCCATCTGCAATGTCGACCGTCGGATGGCAAGTGGGTGCTCAGCGATGAGACCCCTTTGATGCCAATCACCGAAGCGCACGGCGGGCATGCTCTCACTCACCTGAGTTGGAACGAAGCTGGCTCCGATCTGGCCGTGGTCGATGTGACTGGACGTGTCTCAGTCTATCACATCCCTTTCGCCCTCAACAGTGTTAACGGCCTTCGACAGCCGGCTTTTTCTCCCGACGATGGGTCTCAAATTGTTGGCATGATGTGGCTGAACACCCAACGATCCGTAGGTTGAACTGCGAACTACATCTGTCTCTCGATGCTAAACTTCTTAGGTGCATGCATTTTATCAAGCAGCCAAAGTACAGGGTCGCTGGGCTTACTCGCCGTTCCGTCGCCGCCCGATAGGTCCGTTTCACCCTGCAAATAAAGCGGCACTGCTATGCATCACACGTTCTGGATCAATGAAGCTCTTGTACCAGAATCCGGACGGTAGATGGGATGACATCTCTGTGGATCTGAAGAGCACGAGCTACTCAGATCGGTTGCTGTCACATGCTGCTCTAGTAGCAACCCAGAACGGGATTCTTATCGCTACTTACTCGATATGCCAAAAAATTCGCTTCTATCGGGTGCAGATCAACTGGAACCCGCCTCAATGGGACCCTGCACAACAGCCAAAGCAGACGCCACCCCAATTCCCAGTTCCTAGCTTCCGTTTCACGCACTCCAAGGTGGAAACGTCATGCACAGTGCCTGGGATGCCCCGGAATGACGGAGAAGAACCCGACATGATGCAGCAGTCGGTCTCAAATCCTCTTTATAGCCTCAGTCGCCTGGATATAATCCTCCCGGCCTCCGATAACGCTGCTGGGACTACAGCAAACCCATGGATTGTTGCGGTTTTCTCAACCCCACCCCAAGCTACTCCAGATCATCCTGGCCCGCAAGGACCAGCAAGTGTAATTGTACGATGGCAATTGGATATTGCTGCTTTCACCCTTCACCCCAAGTTTGATGAAATGGCCACAAAACGAAACAGTACTCAGATGAAGGTACGTGAAACTTATCAGTACTTCATACAGACCGTGCTGACTCTTTGAACAGCCTAGACCTGTGCTGCGTCGCTTGGAAGACATCTACTCTGACCGCTATGTCATATCGGTAGACCAAATCGAGTACGGTAATGTGGTTGCTATCACTTACGATGATAGCTCCGTGTCTTTCTACGACCCGAAAACCATGGCATTGTTCAATGGTGTTGATGATGCGAATACGGTGACGGGCCTAGCTCAAGCAGGGTTTCACTATGCCCCAGACGCCTCAGGTTGTAGTGCCTCGTATTATCGACCTGGAATGTTACTAACCGTGTTCTAATAGGTCAAGGTCAACACGTCTCTTTCTCACCGAGCGCATGCGCTGCAGTCATGCTAGACAACGACGGCCAGACGCACCTCAGGGTTATGGAGCATTCTTACGGAGCCGAAAACGGTCTTTACGATGAAAGTGCGTTTTCCTTTCTACCAGCTCAACTGTCTGCTAATAAGGTTTCGAACTTGGCAGACAAATTTTCTGCAGCCATTGCATCACTCACATTAGCCTTCTGCCGCGGATGTGGAAGTGAAGTCAACACAGACGATATCCTCTTAATTTTAATACAGCAACTCTCTCAGGGTTCGTACCAACTTTCATCCCCGTCGATCATCAATTCTAA